TAATATGTTTATACATTTCATACACTCAAAAGTAAAATAATATATGCGGTGTATAATATAAATGTAAAAGTAGTAAACACTATAATAAATAAACATCATCAAGGCGCAATCTCAAGTATGTAATTTTTGGGCATTACACATTTACGCTGAATTTTAATAAAACTTTAAATAGTTTATGAAAAAAAAAAAATTTATATAAAAAAACCAATTTTAATTGAACTCAAATGCGCCCCTTACTTTACTGCGCCCTTGGCAAGCGCCCATGTCACTAACCTCTAATTACGGCACTGACTGGTTGTGTGTACACCAGTTGAGTAGGAGCAAAGACCAGTGATGGTCAAGCACGGCAGACGTGTAGGACCGGTTTTACCCTTAGGTCAAGCACATTGGAACACTGGATGAAGTTATAGACTGCATTACGCGTAGTCTGTGTCTGAGGAAGTTATAGCAGATGGCATAAATAGAACGGGACGAGGAACTTGTAGCAGCAATTTTAAACAATAAACGCACACACGTAATAGTGACATTGGGTTCCATTGCTATGTGCCTCACGACTATATTCCTAAGCTCTATCCTATAGTGTATATTATCTAGGCTCTTGTTTACGTCTTAATGAATACCGATTAAAATCTAATTATATAAATCTGTTGTACTAAACGTGTTATAAATTTACTTTTATTAGTTACCTATTTATTTCGTTACAATTTACTATTTCGTTAAACTATTTAAAACTACTTGGTGAAGTTATTTCGTATAAACTGAGATAACATTAAAAAACAATACTTCATATATCATACAATATTCAATTGTACTACTTAATAGGTTAATGATGAACGCAAATGTAGATCCTCATTTTTAGGTTTCATTTTCTTTTCCTAATCAATTGTTGTATATGAATGTCAGACATAGGATTAAGTGCGGTTGGATAAAATAGAAGTGTCGGGCGTAATACGAGTATGTGATAGGAGAATTCCAACGAGGCTAAAAGGTAAATTTTATAGGAGTGTAATTGAACCAAAACTATACTATATGATGGTTCAGAGTGTTGGCGTTTAACAGGAGTATAGAATTAGAGTATGAGTATTGCGGAAATGAAAATGCTTAGGTTGATGAGTGGAGTGATAAGATAAGATAGAATAAGGAACGAATATATGAGGGGTAGTATTGGTGTAACGTCTATAGTGCAAAATACGAGAGAAAATAAACTGAGATGGTTTGGGTATGTGATGAGACGAGAGGAAACAAATCAAGTAAGAGTTGTTATGAAAATGAATGTTGAAGGGAAAAGAAAAAGAGAAGACTAAAAAAGATACGGATGAGAATGTTATAAGAGCTGTTGGTGTGTGCGTAGGGGATGTAGAAAATCGAGACGAGTAAACGTTTAGGACAAGGATGACCGACCCCAAATAGTTGGGAGAAAGCCGAAGAAGAAGAATCAATTTTTGTATATACTTAAGTCTGAATCATACATTTTTTTAAACTTATCACTATAACAATTATGTAAAATTGTACACATATAAAGGATTCGACCGTTAAATAAATAATCGCTCTGTGAGTGAAGTTCGTAGAACTCATAAGCCGAAATTGAAGCTGAAAGAAACTAAGGTTTCAGAAGTTCATTGAACACGCCAACTTAAAATTAAAATTTGCTTTTTCCTTATTTACTGGTATCCAAATTATTGTTAATAACTTCAAATTTGAAAGAAGTAATCATATATAGTTTATATATGAAAAACTAATGCAAATATCATTGACCCTGGCACCACTAAGTAAAAATTTTTGGGTCAAAATGGTTTCACACATTAGTAACCAATTCGTAATAATTCGTAAGCACAAATTTGAAATTTGTAACTTAAGTATAACCGCCCTAAATCAATTTTCTGTTTGATTGTGCATGTAGTTATTTTCTAAAGTTTTTTTTCAACTACGCATTTTTCATCTTATTTTAATTAATGTCTTTTTATTTTTTTTTTTTCATTATATTTATATGCAATATATAAAATACATACATACATTTATATTTATACAAAGCTCGAATTGGGAAAAATTAAATATAGTAGCTCAGTCCAATGATTTAAAAACTGCGTTCCATGGGCGCAATTATTCAACACAAACCCGTGGGGGGGGATATACCCCACACTCCCTACTCCAAACTTATATATATTTTAAATACCATTTTCAGTTACACAAATATTTAAATTCCAAATATTGGCATCGATAATATTAATGACAAATCATACAATGAATAAAGTATATACCAAATTATATTTGTATATACCAGACATTACTATTTATATTTTTCTCGAAATTACGAAACCGTCACTTATATAATCACCATATAATCTTTTATTATGAAATGTATTTTCTTATGTTATTACGTTAGATATATTTATATATCATATATACTACGATATTAGAACGTCCTTTTGTTAACTTTATTTAATTTTCAATGTACAGTGTTCGTTATAGTTCTGTAATTCGAACACTGTGCACCGATCAAAAACCGATAGTGTGTGGCTACTTTATAAAATAATGTTTATTGCAAAAACATCTCATACATTAATACCTATAGGAACAACTATTAATTTTCGTCTTATTAATAAGGCAATAAATTATAAAAATCAATTACACAAAAACTGATTATGAATTGCGCATTTAGCTTATCCAAATACGCAAAATAAGTCCAGCTGCGCTTTAGAATAAGCCCTAGGGTGCATTATACTTAAATTACAAATTCTAAATTTGTGGTTACGAATTATTACTAATTGATTACTAATTGTTGGTATTGTTTCGGACACTGTACGTTTTTTTTTGAGTCTTGGGTGCTGGAGTCAACTAACATTCGCACCCGCAAATAGAAAATTGATTTTGGAAGGTTATATTTAAGTTACAAATTTCAAATTTGTAGTTACGAATTATTACGAATTGGTTACTAATTTGTGAAATCATTTTGACACCAAAATTTTTACTCTATGGTGCTAGGGTCAGTAACAAGAATACAACAATACGAGAACACTTATAAGGGAAAAGACCAATAAAATGCAGCATTGGTATCAGTTACCATTATTATGGATTGTTTTCATAGCAAAAAGTCATCAATCATTTTTTAACATTATTTCAGTAGACAAGAATTTCAAATTTATACATTATTCATTATATTCGTTTCTAGGGCAACGGACATTATTTAAATTCAGAATTTTAAATATGATTATTTATCACTTTACTATTCATATAGAATAATAGTAAATACGGACAGTCAGTGCTAGTAACAGACATACATAGGAATAACTAGTGACGTTTTTAAAAAAAAATAACTAGCATTTCTAAAATTATCAAACTTATTATTTTGCATGCATGTTTTGCTGTTAAAATATATGTAGGTACTTGCTTGTACATCCTCTATAATCTACTTATCAAATATATTTAAGGTTATTATGAATAACATATTGATCCAATCCGTAGTATGTCTACGGGGTTGAATTCACTAAAATTCCTGTATATAGTAAAAGTTAAATAAAATAAATATACTAATAATACAAGCAAGTAAAGTAGAAATTATGTATTTTTATCTATGTATTCAAATAAAGAAAATGAAAGTAAAACTTATTAATATTGTAAAAAAAAGTTTTATTAATGATAAATTACCAACATTATAAACTATTGATATTTACATATAGTTTCAATGCAAATGTATTATGGTTTTAGATTGACAATATAAACATGATAGGTTAAGTCAGGTTAAATTTAATTTGTGTTGGTTTATCACTCATGCATAATAATATTTAGATTATATATAATTTCTTAGTCCATAAGAATGAAAAAAAAAATTATAGGTAAAAAATACTTAACATTAAAATCAATATATTAACTGTGTATTATATTGTAGAATAATTATTTAGAATATTATTATTGTTAATAAAACCTAGATTATAAAAATGTATACAAAAATATGATCAAATCCAAACCAATTTCCATAATTTTTTATATTTTTTAATTAAGAATATAATATAAATCCAGTCTTTATATATATAAAAAAAAAAACTTTCAGAATATTGTATATTGATAAAACTATACATAAATAAGTTATATAAGGAAATATAGGGTTATTTATTTTATATTATAAAAAAAATACTACACATAAATGTATGTTCTGCTCAAACATTTTCAAATTTCAATTATTATATATAAAAATTATTTAAGTATTAAAATATCTATTGTTACTTATGGAAATAATGAATTGGTAAAAATTAATTTAGAGAAATCATGAGATTATTCATTAATCATTTAGTAGTTTTAGTGTAGAAAATTAATTTTTTAAATGGAAAATTGTTATCTTTTAGCAAAACACAGCATATATTAATTAAAGTACTAGTTATTTAGATATTACATTTTAAGGTCATATAATTTTAAAATTGAATACAAAATAAAATGCAGCAATTAAATTTAATATCAAATTACTATTACTATAAGTATAAATATTTCATCTTAGACTATGTGTAAATATACACAAAAATTATGTTCCATTTAAAACCAAAATGAATTCATACAGTCAATCACATGTAAAACATCACAATTCAGTTAATACGTATTTGGTACTCGACAAATAGTGTTTAGAAAGGAACTAACTAAATTAACTAAATAAGGCAGAAAACAATAATATTTAAACAAATGTTAGCCTTGCGATTTTTATTTTTTTAACATAAATCGTCAAAACTCAGGAACAACAAAAAAAAAAAAAAAAAAAAAAATACAACTAAAACTAGTAATTTAATATTACACCAAACAGTTTAGAATATTTAAATTTATAGTATACATATGAATTATAAATAGAAAAAAAACTTATTTGAAGAATTGAAAAGTAATTTTAAATTAGAGGAAAACATTTTTTAAAAAAAGTTCACCAAAATATACAAAAATACACTTATTTTTTGAAAATATTAATTTTATAATTGACTCCTATGTCTTATGATAAATATACATTTATAAACTATTGTGCTGTTTTATTATCTAATGGCAAACACATGAAATCTTATTATTATGCTTAAATAATAAATGTATTTCTAACCATAATCAGTTCAAAACTAGGTAACTTAATATTTAAGATAATAATATTATTTGAATAACCAGATTATATTAGTTGAAACATATAGATAATAATAAAAAAAAAAAATTGAGTCATTCACAAACCTTCGTTACGCTGTTGATGGCACAAAAAAAAAAGATTAAATGCTTTGGTTTTTGATAAGATCTGCTATTGGTATTTGAATGTGTGATTAACAATTTACTTCAGTCGATTTTAGGGGTTGCATACCTAAAAAAATTGCAAATGTATAAAACAAATGAATAGTATTTTATTCAAAAATGTAAAAATACAAATTCTAAAATCAGTTAGTAACTTAATATTCTACTTTAAAATACATTAATTATAACATGTATGAGTATTGTTTAAAACATAAGAAAAATACATGTTAAGCATAGCTTTTTTTCATAAATAAAACCTCCGAGAGAAAATACAATTTAATATTATATTATTTAATAATAAAACATAGATCATTGTACATTACACCATTGTATTATTTTTGTATTAGCTAATAAATATTAACGTTACATAAAAAAAAAAAAAGGTCATTCAATATGATGTCCCAGTTTATTATTTGTATATGTTATGTTTGTACATAATTAAATACTTTCAAAAAATCATGCCTTTCAAATTATTATTATTATTATTATTTTCTGTATTAGTGTAATAAAAACATCCATACATAATACATATGCATATACATATACATTTAAAATAATTTATTGGTGTATTTAAGATACTCAAAAGTTATTCAATTATATATTTAAATTATAAATTTTTTTATGGTCAGTTATGAAGTAAATAATAGTTAATATAGAGTTTTTATTATTCTTAATAATTTTTATGTCAATTATTAATGATTGTTATAATCAAATTATTTAAAAATTAATTTTAGTATAATATAAAATATTTCTGACTACTTAGGTCATTTAAGGATCAACCTTATTAACACACAAGAAAAAATAATTTTAAATTAAAATAAATAATATGTAATTTAGTAGTTTTTTATGTTGTAAGTAGGGCAAATCCATATTGATATAAAATTACTAACAAAAAGTAATAATTTTAAAAATGAATACACTCAATGAAAAATACATGGCATATTTAATGAAATGAAAAAAAAAACAGTTTTTTATGGTGATATATACCATATGATACCAAAAATCTATTTATTGTTCAAATAATTTTACTATAATTTGTAGACATTAAGTAAATAATACTTTTATTTGAAGCATAATTTAGCATTTAGGTTTTATATTTTCAAATATTTGGTGTAAAACAAATTTGTTATACTAAACAGTAAATTATAGGCCTCAATACATTAAGTAAATTAGACAATACTCTGATAATGACAGAACAATAATAATAAACTCAAATTTATTGAGAACATATTGTTTTAGATTTTTCAAAACACGATTTAAATATGTTTAAAAATTAACTTTAATTAAAATGTTAAGCTTATTAAATATTTAAATAACTAACAAACTACCAATTTGTATTGGTTAGTTATAAAATATTTTAATTAATTCTAGTTATTGAAAAAAGACATAAAAATCATGAAAATATAACATTCAATGCATAATTTACTCTAGACACTAATTGTAGTTTTAAAAAATAATTAGACAATTTGTGGTTTTATAAATTTTACTCAATATTAAATTAAGATATTAATTATTTAAGTAAAATATAGCATTAATATTAATTAAACACTAAAAATAAATTTAACATACATACCCATGAATTGTGGATAAACAGGATAGGCTCCTGGTGGTAGGTGATGAGTGACTTCTTTTTTGGGGGTATTTTCTTCTTCAGATTCATTGGGTAAAGAAACCGCAGCAATCATATTTGCATTATCACTTGGGTCTTCTAAATTAAAAAAAAATTATAAATATAACTAATAGCAAATAATTATTTTAATATATATTATATATTATGCACAGGACTTTGAGAAATAGTTTTAATTACCTATATACAAAATAGATTAAGTAATAATAATTAATTACATTATATTAATAAAGTAATATTTAAATACATAAATCATAAATAATCCGGATTACAATATAATTTTAAAATAATAAATGTTTATTATACTTAAACATATTATTTTATTACAATCATACTGTAACATATGCTATATACATATATATTACTATAGAGTATTGATAATGTTGTGATGGTTTATATTTCCTGATTCATTACTTATGTTTTTTTTATACTGTTTAACTTAGGTCAGCAAAACAGAATCTAAATACTAGAATATCTTTATAATATATTATAAGATCAGTTTTTATTAAATTAAGTTACAACACTTAATAAGTTGAATGAATTCATGCATATTAAAATTTATATTATTATAATTTAATATATGAGAATTCATTTTTAACTTAATAATTTGATCACCTTGACCTTTCTGTGACTAAGAATTGTTGAATAGGCAAAAAATTAATTGGAGTCAACTTACCACTTGGCTCTACTTATCTTATTTTAAATTAACTATATATTTAAGTACTATGAAAGTATACCATTATAATATCATATAGATATAAAATATATTAAAAGTATTAATACTTGTGGGCAAGGATTTATTTATTTATATATATAATATTTTAAATATTAATAATAATTACTACACTACGAGGCATATTTGAAAAGTAAGGGCCATTTCGTCATAAAAAAAATTATAATCATATAAAATAGGTTTTATTAGCACATTTAGTTTCCAACAAATCTAATTCACTTTTTCACATAATCGCCATTCAGTTCTAAGCATTTTTCGTACCGATGCACCTGCTTCCTTAACCTCTCTGTATAAAAGCTCACTAACGGCCTGCAAATTTAACCAGTTTTCAAAGCGTTGTCTACCAAATTATTTTTTGAAATCTAATAAAAGGAAGTAGTCACTGGGTGCAAGCTTGTCCAAAATGAGAAAATTTATCAGTCAGGGCACTAATCGTCAACCGATGATGAAATTGCAGTTTTTGGTTAAAGAAACAATTTCATCGGTTTACAAGCAGGGTTTACCACTCCGCTTTTCGTCATGTACATTATTTTTGTCCATTTTCGAAATCAAGATACCACTGTCTAACCTTTCTTTCACACATTAAAGTAGGTCTATCAACTAGGAATAACACTTGATAAATTTCAATCGCTGAAGATCCTTTTGCTAACAAATAATTTATTACAGCACGAATACAGTTGATGAGAGCAACAATTATCACGGAAATTGTTCACTTTATTCACAGATAGGCAAGTGACTACTGAATCAAAAAATCATGTGAAATGGCTGCTCGAGTAGTGCATGTACAGATATGCATAAGTTTAAACACGTTACGACTTGTTGATTTTGAAATATAAGCTAATGTCCCTTACTTTTCGAATATGCATCAAAGAAAATGACATAGGTTTTTATAATACCAATAATAGTCTTATAGGAAAATATCAATATCAAAGAATTAGATTTTACTGTTTTATTTTGCAGTAAATTATTCTAACATATATATTTAGTAGAGACTGGATTTAAATGTTAATACATAATTTTACTATGTTTTGATAAATTAATTAAACATGAGATCAATTTGTTTCTAATAATTTTAAACTACAATAGGTATATTTGATTTTATATACCTCAAATGGTTTTGTTTCTCCCACGTTTTTAAAGAATTTTGATAAATTGAACTAATATTCTATTGAGATTATAAATGTCAAAATTAAAAATGATTAAAAAAAAAAAAATGTCTGGTCTAGCACATGAATGAAGGCTATTAAATATTCTCAAATGATATTAGTTGACATAAATTAAGTTTATGGTAAAAACAGTAATCATTTAAATTCAAAAATCTAAAAATACACATTGTCATATTAAATATGTGATTATGAGCACATATATAATATATATACAATGTAATGATTATAAGTTTATTTTAGTGCATATTTATGTATATATTTTGATAGTTTAAATATGAAATGCATTAAAATATAAGAATTTATATTTTGCTCCTTGTTCAAAATAAAAAATATTCTAAAAATAATTTAGATATTGATCTTTTGTTCACAAAAATGATTATAGTAACTAATTTTTTTGTTTTCTTAATTTTTTTGTTTGAAATTGTAGAATATATTTTTTTTATGTAAAAATAAAAAAATAATAAGATATTAAAGATCTAATATAAACAGGAAAGTTCATATATAATTTATTTATGAGATTATAAAATTAAAAATAGATTTAAATTTGTTAATATTATACAAAAATACATACATTTAAATATAGGAAATATATATATATTAATAGATTAAGCTAGACAAATGATATTTTAATTTATTATGTTAAAGAACATTATCATTTGTGTTAAGATTATAAAAATATACTAACGTTTTAGTCAAGAATTTGTTTTGATAACAATTATACACTTATAAACCTGCAGTATATTTATAAATAAAAATATAATTTAACACACTCATTTTATCATTTAACAGATACAATTAAATAGTAAGGTACATTAAAGATAAGGTAATAAACAATTTATAATCAGGAATTTTTTTTAAAATATTTATAGTTGGAAAAAATAAAGAAAATAATGTAATGTGATACACATATAGTTTTACAAATTAATATTATAGATTTAATCTTGTATACTAATACTGATAGATGATAATCAATAGTTACCTATTCTGTATTCACTATAATAAGTGGATTATTTATATCAGTACTGTCAGTTAAAGCAAAATGTTATTATAATCACTATATGTTATATAATATACTTAATAAGTGCTTATAACAATTAAAATAAAGTCCTAGAAGGAACAAAATGTTTCCTTATTGTAAAAAAAAAAAAAGGTTCTAAAAAATTATTAAAGTAACACTATTATTTTAAGTTTAAACAAATGCAGCTAAAATACTCATCAATATAAATAAAAATATATACATTTTTCTTTTAAAGAAGTTAATATATTTTTTAATTAGTTATACTATACAAGAATGCAAATCAAACTAAGGATATGTAAAATTGTATGTTAATATATAATTGAGTAGAGTTTGATAATTCACTAACATTTTAATATGAACTACTTAAAATAATTCCAAAGTAAATATTGACTGTTGAAGGTCAGTTTAATATAATTAAGAATACCCAATAAGGAAGTGATGTATTATATTTAAAATAGTAAGATCTCATTCAAAAAATAGTTTATTTCATACTTTAAAATAGAGATAAAAGGTAATTGACATAAATTAACCTTGTAATGATGTAAAAATAAAGAAATTCTAGAATACACGTAGAAAAAAAATTAAATAGATTCTATTGAATAGATCGGCCATACAAAATAAAAAGAACTATTTTTATAAATGATCCATTACTTAAGAAAAAATCCAATGCATTGTTTGAAAAACAATACTTTAAATTCATGATTAAAATTTCAGATTTTATAAAATGGAAATGTATATTAAAGGAACTACATTATTCTAAAGGAGTTCCAATTAATGCATGTTGTTAAGAATGTATTTTATTACGATTTATTGTATTTTAGTGTATTTAAAATTAAAATTATTCATTTTTATTTTAGCATAATTCAACTGTTAAATATTTACTTTATCGACATATACATTCTAAGTAATTATTCAATAACTTTTTTTTATTTTTTTTTATTTAACAGTTAAGGCCATTTCAAAATTGTGACTGTTAATTTTATAAGTTTAAAACAAAAAAAAACCTTATAAATAAAATTAATAAAAACAATGTATAATAGTATTCCAGGATTTTATTTTGATTTTACTAGAAAGAAAGCATTTTTATGAAATTTTGTTTAAGAGGTAAAATATTTTCTGTATCGGTTTTAATTTATGAAGTTATTTAGAAAACTTTAACAAGTGTGGTTTATAATTAAAATATAATATTACATAAACAGAAATTATTTACATACAACAAATATTTGACTATTTGATAACAAATAAAGAATGTTAAAAAGATAGTCGAAATTAAAATAAATTTAGTAAATAAATAAATTAAATTATTTTAAATTAGTTTATGAAAATTGTAATAGAAAATATATTCAAGGACAAATATAATAAAAAGACTAATTAGTAATGCTCTAATTAATGCTCAGCTACTAAAATATAATAAAAAAAAAAACATAAGAAGTATTTTAAGAAAAACTAAAACCAGAAAATGGAAATTTAAAAAAGTTGTAAAACTTGTTAATTTTTGTATTACACCTAAATACTTTTAATATTCCACCTAAAACAGTGTTGTTATCTATCTATTTATATATTATAAATTCTTTAATTCATGACATTCATATTATTGTTAATAACTTTTTTAGCAAATAATTATCACTTTTCAGATCATCAACTAAGATCAAAGTATATGGTAATTTTAAAAAAATAGCTATTGGGACCAATATTAAAATATTGAAGTTTTTTGAAATTCACCAGACTAAATTTTTTGGACTTGACGTCACTGCAAAAAATAATGAATTTATCATGTAGCCCAACATTGATAATAAAAATGATGAATAATGAGAGAAAAAGATATCTAAAGCAATCTTAATATAAGATCAGGGGCGTGTACAAGGGGGATGTGGGGGTCAGATCCTCCCATAGGCCCTTTTAAGATTGTATAAAATAGTTTTCTTAATGGAAGGAAATTACAAGGAAACAAAATAATATTGCAAGAATTTATTGTAAATTATTATTTAAATATTCAGTTATTTAGGTTCAGGAATTTTCCTTCCATAATAATTTGTTTGCAACTGATCCCCTCCCCCCCAATACAAATGTATATGCCACTGTATATGACATTATTGAATCATTAATGATAAAAACAAATAAACCATACATGATGTCATAATAAAAATATAGCAACATAATTTAATATTTCAACTCATTGAAGTGAATTTTATTAATTCTGTAGAAATTTTAAGGAAGAGTATAATTAACATTAACATTAACCATTAATTTAGCTAAGACAATATGAAATATATGTATAGTCAAGCACTAGATGTTATAGAATACTTTTAAAAAAATTAACAAAAATATCATAATCAATAATTTTAACCTGTCGTTAGTTGCTGTATAGTCAAAATAACCACACTTTATTTTAGGTCTCTAATAAAACGTTTACGTTTTATATTTCAATCATTGACACAAAGTATAAATTTTAAAAATGTTATTGATTGTATATTATTGATCATAATATATGAGTATCAATGATTAAAATATAAAATGTAAATGTTTTATTAATGATAAAAAAAATTAGAGTAATTTTGTCCATAGCATGATTAATGACAGGTTAAAAACAATATTTATTTAAGATTAAGTGATAAATTAAGAAATTAAAAAGATAACCTATCTAATTTTTTTGGAAACTAAGAATATTCAAAAATTTTAATCTTAATCTTATGAATTTTTAAGATCTAAAATTAATTAAATAAAAATACTTTTTCCAAAATGTAAGTAAATATTTAAGTCTTAATTTTAATTTCACTCCATGGTAAATTTATTCAGCATTCGTGTAGCAGGTGATCTACCAGAGGGGAGGGATGATCCGCGAGTTTAGGACGAGTGATCTATATATTAATAGTATAAAAATGAATTATATTTTTTTACTACAAATACGTCATATCATATAAATATTTGTCAAATATAAAAATTAAAAATAATTAGCCAAATATAATTATAATTTCAATAATTGTAATTATTACAGTAAATATTTTATAAAATTCAGATGCATGCATTATAGATAAACTCCGAACAACGAACAATTTGAATTTAACCTATCTAGCAACATTGCTAATGACTTATAGTTATATTGTAAATGTCATTATCGCAACACAGTCCCACTGTGGTCTACAATAATGTGCATATAATAATAATTATAGATCACCAACTACACCTTGTATAATACGGTAGATCACCAGATATGCCTAAAAAGAAGTTGTAGATCACCTGCTACACAAATTCCGAATATTCTGTACAGAAATTAAATATAAAATATTTAATGTTAAACATATTGATAATACATACTATAAGATGGGCGACGTCTCATCATGCAATAACATGGAATGCAGATACAAATAATACAGCATACCAATATGAGAGTAACGACAACAATCAGAAGTATCAATAAACTTGGCATATGCCTTTGAATTCTATGAATATAATGATAAGTTAATACATGGATACATAAAACAAATAAATAAATTATTATTTACATATTGTTAATAAGCTCAAAACCATTGCAACATTCTACATTTTCATCCAAGTCATAACAACAAAACGTTGATTCTTGTGTTTTGTTATGCGAAGGGCATGTCCATGTTTTCTCCCTATTGATTATACCGTTGGAAACTTTTTTCACCCAACAGTTTTCACCTGAATATACAGTCAGATTTATTCATAAAAAATTAAAACTACAAAGGTGGAAAAAGACAAAGATCAACTGAATACTTACTTTGAACTGAAGAAATCAACATCATCAGTGCTGCGACGCAAAGCGTCGTTTTCACACAGCTCATAGTGAAAAAGGAGAACGGTGCAAGGGTTAACAACAAATGGACATAAATTAATTCGCACTAGTGATATACAACTAATATTAATGGCTGATACTTATAGAAAAATAAATAATATGACTCATGTCTCGCAAAAAAACGAACAAATAGTAGAGATGAATTACGCGTACCGGACGTATTGTAGTAGCTCGAGTTCACGATCGAATAAAATAACTCATTTAGATAGACGGACTATGAAATGCAGATGAAGTAGAGATGGTCTGGACGAAAATTTTTTTTATTTATATATATATAGATTATATTACCTATGGTATGTTTTGTTTCCCCGAGATATTTTAAGGGCGGGGAAATAGTAGGGAGATCAAACGCAAAGAGGTAATGTGTACGCCAGAACACTATGTCTTTGGAACGATTTTTCAACAGCACTCCTAGATAACATTAATCAGTGATAAGAACGGTCATCACGATTCATAATATAATAGTTATATTATATATCTATGTCACGATTCTAGCTCGAGCAAATACAGATAACTGTCAAGAATTTTATTGGCTTTACAGTTACGTCTACAGCCTTCCAAATTTCAGAATACTGCTGATGACAGTCATATGTACAAATTATCTTTGATTCATTGATAGTTTTGTGATTTGACGTTCGCAGAACAGTGGTTTTCATATTGACTTTGTTCGACAAATATTGAAAATGAATTTGAAATTTTGTGCTAATTTATCGTTCATGTACCAAGAAGTCGGTAATCTCGTGGAACGATATAGTTTGGCTGCGAAGTCGGGATTTTCTTCTGTTGAATGTGCATTTCCGTATTCCGATCCTTTGGAGAAAGTAGTGCAAGCAAAAACTGATGCCAATGTATTACAAATCTTGATAAATGCTCCTCGAGGAGAAGCTAATGAACTCGGTTTCGCGGCAATCCCAGGCATGGAGGACCGTTTTCGTTCATCTATCGAACTGGCTATGTCTTATGCCATTGCATTGAATTGTTCCAAGATTCACGTAATGGCTGGAATCGTTATACAGCCATCTGAAGCCAATCACAAAGCTTATGAAAAGAACTTGTCATATGCTGCTAAGATTTTTGAAACTAAAGGCATTATAGGTTTAATCGAGCCCATCAATAAACATTCTGCTCCAGGATATTATTTAAATTCATACGAACGAGCTGTTGACGTTCTGAACAAAATTAACAGTCCTAACTTGAAGCTACAGTTGGATATATTTCATTTGCAACAAATCAAAGGAGATCTAACTAATAACATAAAAAGTTTGTTACCTCATGTGAGGCACATACAGTTGGCTCAAGTTCCTAAACGCAATGAACCTAATACTCCAGGTGAAATAGATTATAATTATATTTTTCAACTGTTGGAAGAACTTAACTATAGTGAATGGATTGGTTTGGAATATAACCCTAAAGATGATACGGATAAAGGTTTATCATGGTTAAGAAATTTAAAAGGATCTGACAAATTTTGATTTGAAAAATTTAAAAAATGTAGGTATATTACAAGCATTAAATAATAACTTAACAATACACTTGAATTTATTCTAAAATCCAGAGCATATTTACACCAGATTTTCCTAGATTGACACTTTCCAACAATCCATTTTCAGTCGTTTTTATATAATGTAGGAACAATAAAATTGTGTAGAAAAAATTATTTCGACCCTGCAACAATGTTAAACATTAATTTATAAAATAAAATTTTTTTTATATTTATAATTTTAATTATAAGCTCAAATATTTTACATCATATGTACCACATAAAAATACATACCTTTGGAAAATTGTGAGTTTCTTTATTGATTTTTAAACTATAATGAGGTGGAATATTTGATTGTTGATAAATAATAACTTGCTTATCAACAGATTTGACTTTTTCTGGATATTTAACAAAATGTTGAATAGAAAATGGGTTTTTTCCTTTTAAACGTGTTAATGGAGATAATTGAGAATCTAAGTATGTTGCCAATAAATGCATCACCAACTAAAAATAAATAGTATAACAAAAGTTATAAAGCTAATACCTAAAATTAATTGCATGTATTTGTTCAAAAATTAATAGTTACCACTGCATCAGATGGTAATTCGTTATTCCATTCTTTCCCCTTAAATGTGCCACCAGAATTCCATCGATACTCCGTTAAACAAGGACCTTTAGCTAATTCTAAATGAAATTATTAAATTTTTTAAAAATATATAAATAATATTAATAAATTATTTTTATACCTCTAATACGTTGTACTAAATATTCTTGATTTGCAGATATTTCAAAATATGGAATAATGTGCAATAAACTTGGTATAGTTTGAGCAACTTGAACTGTATGTGCAGTTTTTTTAAGTCTTTCCAAACCAACACTGCCTATTGAAACATCTACAAATCCTTGATTGTATAAAGCACGATCAACATTTTCTATTTCCTTTACTAATCGAGAAACAATTGTTTTTGAAATCCACTAAAAAAATTGATTATATTTATTTAGAATCAAGTATAATTGGTTTAAATTAATTAGGAATACAAAATATAATTACTGTTCTTAAATTAACAGACCATCTTTCAACTTTATTATTATCAACTTTAAATTTACGCCATACTTCCGAAGCCATTGCTACAGTTGAAGTACTTTCATTTAATTCAGATTTTGACTGTTCAGCTAAAATGTACAAAACACCTGACATTAAAATTCAGAATAATTTAAACTTCATAAACTTACGCGAAGAAGCAACTTGGTATATGGAATTTTGTAGCATTGATGAAATGGATATATTTGAACCACCTGAACGCTCCCAAAGTGACATACTTCTTTGTTCAGAATCACGTTCTAAAATAATATTATTATGTAATATAATATGACTAAGTTTACAGTAATTATTTATATATATATATAAAATCTAAATTTGGAAGAATTTTAGATTAATAATAATTTTATTTGGAAACATTTAATTACTAAATCATTATATTTTTATTTGAATAATTTGATCATCGTTAAAAAACAGCTATATTCAAAAAAAAGTAAGTATACTTATTTAATTTGGCCAATGCAATTAGAATTTTATTTAATGTAGTAGAACATGCAAATATTACAATACACAGTAGTATTAACATAGAACATAACATTAAGAATTTGTACAATAAATAGCTTAGGCTGATTAGACTAAATAAAATAAAATACTTCAATACATCAATATTACCAGAAAGAGAAAAGCTATTTCTATTTTCATAATCCTTTAAATATTGTTCTAAGGCAGATATATCTTCTATATTTTCATCATTAGTATTAATTATGTACTTATTTGAACTTTTATTTGGTTTTTCTTGTCCAAAACTGTCTAAAAATAATAAACATTTGCAAATATTAGTAAAATATTATAATAATAACACATTACTAAAATAACTTACCAGGTGAAATTCGAAATTGTGGATTTTTCCATTTGTTTGATGTCCAGTTAATCGGAGTACTAGTGGTGGCAGGGGGTGTTACAATACTTGATGAAGAATCTGGTGATTTTAATTTTATGTAAGCTAAAAGAAACATAAACATATGTAATTAAATAATATAATTTCAGTTTTTTATTCATACAGTTTGATAATCCAATAGTTTGAAATTGTTCTGGTGATAAATGCAAGGCATTAGTAGTCATCCATAACTTTGTAAGGGATAATGAATGATACAAAAGACTAAATATTACTACTATTGATGACACTGACTCAACAAATCGCCACCACGGAGTATACCAGGAATATGGCAAGACCAATCTAAAAAATAAGTATTTTTCAACTATAAATAATATTTTTAAGTACAATACATAGTTTCATTCAAAAAACTAGCAACTGTTTGATATTTTTTTTTTAAACGTAGAATTAATATATTTAGTTGAAGATGAATAAATTTGTCAAAAAGAATATATATATATTTATATATATAATCATTTTGGCCACACATGTATTTTAAATAAATGGTGAAAACAACTTACAAATCATAAGCAAGCATGGACAATATTAAAGCATTAATAGTCCCCCAAATAAAATGTTGCTTCATTCTTTTAACTCTAATTGTTAATTGAATAGCGTCTTTGACTAAATCCTTTTTCAAAAAAAGATTTGGCTGAAATTCCGAAGGAGTCCTAAAAAACATTATTGTATATATATACAAATCATAACTTTCTAAAAATACATACCTCATAATTAATAATTTTTACTGTGTGTTAATATTTTATCAACAAGCAATATTCATATCAAATTTGATCAAATCAATTTCCATAAAAAGCATTGATATTATTATAATTCAAAGGTTTTATTATAATTCTCAATTGCCAAGCCGGTTAATTGATTTAATAATCCGTTTCAACACTTATCAGGGATAGTTGATAATTTTGAAAATGTATTTTAACGTCTATTTAATTATTAACATTCAATTCAATAATATTTGTCAAGACACAAGTACTTAGCAGGCGAAAATTACAAAAACGAAAATCCACATGTTCATAGTTGGACAGAAAATCCGTAGTCGTCGATTTTCAGAACCATTTTATTCGTAATAACATTATCTTCTCCAAATGAAATTTTGAGTTACCAACGTATCTGAGATTATCTATGAATCTTATAAGAACAAACGACCGCCATAGATTATTTACAATATACAATTCCGTTTCGTACTTCAAATAAAAATGCACATTATTTTTTATTCCATGATCATTACGATATCCAAAACTTTTTATTTTTCTTCATCAATGTTCGTATTATCATTCTTATCTTTTGTTTATTTATTTTTTCGTACAAGTATTTGGAAATCCGTTGGATTAATTGAGTCGCAATAAATACTTAAAAATATTATTTAATTATTAATTAATACTCGGTAATGCCATGTTAATTAATGAAAGAACCAATAAACTTATCAACTCCATTCGTGAAGTTAAAATTGATGGGAGAATGGCGCTTGTATCATTGTATGATGATCTTCCTCATTTTGAGTATGACCTCACAATTAACAATGTAAGTATAATGGTGATAGTTATAGATTTTTTGTAACTGAATTAGTATATTTAAAGTACTATATACAGAATTACATTAATTTATCTTCACATTATTCTTAGATTTTAAATATACCAAATTTAATCTATTCTTTAATATTATTTTAAACTTTTTATGGCGACACTAAAACTATTTAAATACCAACCTAACTAAAAATTGACTTTTTTTTCAAATGAATTTTCCAATTTATTCCTCAAACTAGATATCAATATAAATTTAAGTATTTTTCAATATAATTAACAATAATAATGAACATTTTTTGATCATCTGGAATAAATGGACTTGTAAAGTAGCTCTGTATTAAAATATTTTAAATAAACAATTATAAATCAAATAAATGCGTAGTTGTTTAATAATTAAACATGCTTAAATTTATTATGTAAGTAAAGTAAGTAGATGATTATGATGAATGGATAAATATAAATTAAAAACTGATGACTTTAAAATTTTTATTAAATCTACTTGAAAATAATTTATTTTATTTATGATTATATTTTTATAAACCCTTCTGAAATCAATATAAATTTAAAAATTGCTGACATTTTTATAACTTATGGAAAATAAAAGTAAGAATTTTGTTCTCATATGGACTTAATGATTTGAACGGTATAATGGTATAATAGAGGAACATCTTAATTTCAAAGTTGTATATGTGTTAAAGAGACACACAACTTTCAATTTAATTCTAAAAAATTATCCATAACTATAAAACCAAATAAGAAATTAATGGAAATGATAAGACCTTATTTCCTATTATATTATTAGTATACTAATATATTGTATAATATTTACAGTTGGAAAATTCCATAAAAAAACTTAAAAATCTTATTCAAGAATTAAATCAACAAGTTAAAAAATTAGAAAATGAAAATTCATGTTTTAAATCACTTAATTTAATATTATCAAAAAATATTTCATCATTATATAAAACTGCTAAATATGAAATTCAAAGAAAAGACAAAATAATTGAAGAACTTCGTAAAAGGTAACATTTATTTTTATTAAAATATTGTATTATTATCTACAAAAAATTTTTTTATTGAAATTTTAGTAAAATGTATGCAACTGCAACATCAAAAATGTTTTCTTATAGCAATAGTTTGCCATTAGAAAAAATGCAGAACAATCAGTATTCCAATAAAAATAATGATATAGAACATGTTATCACAGTTACTGAGAAATCTAACATACTCAATGAAAATAATAAAGATAATTTAACAAATGTCTTAATTCAGCCTAATTATAATATTCCAAAAACAGTCTATAACACAAGATTGTGTAAAAAATTAGTTCAACAAAATCAAATTAATGAATCCAAAAATAAGGTGCCAATAAGCATTCAAAGTAATAATATTATATCTACTGGTAAAAATACACAAGATAAAAATGAAAAATTAAATAATGATAAAAATGTAATAAAAGGAATGGTAACTCCCTCTATTCACAATGATTTAGAAAATAATCCTAACTCTACATTAATAATTTGTAAATCTGATTCAACCTCAAATGATTGTTTATATAACACCACTCCAATTAATCAATTTGAAAATTCAGAGAAAGAGAAAGAAAATGTTTCTACAGAATCATTTTTTACTTCACTAAAACAACCAATTAAAATTAAAAAGAAAATGGTCATAGCTCCCGCCACTATTGGTGTGCCAAATACGCTCAATGAAAACTTAAGCAAAAGCAGAAATTTGGTAAGAGAAACTATTGCTGAAGAAAAATATACGGAAGAAAATAATTATACAAAACTAAATGATGTAAGGAAATCTTCACATGAAATTTGTACTAGTCCATCTGCTAATAAGGAACTTAATTCTTCTACAAGGATTGTAAAATGTTTGTCTTTGAGTAATGAAATAAAATCACCTTTTTTAACCAAACAGAAAAGTAATCAATTGGAATGTAAGTCACCTACCATTAACCATGTTAATAATTCAACAGAATCTATCCAGCTAAATAATTCTGTTGAACATAAAGATAAATCTTCTAGACAAAGTCTACCTGACCAAACAGGTATACCATCTACAAATATTGAAGTTGAACAGGTTCCATTTAGAAGAAAAACCATATTTATAGGAATGGATAATACAAAAACTAATGTTATAAGAAAATCTTCACATAAAGCTTGTACTAGTTCATCTGTTAACAAGGAATTTAATGCTTCTCCGAGTAATGAAATAAAATCACCTATTTCATACAAACAGAAAAATAGTCAATTGGAATCTAAATCATTTAATATTATCAAAGTTAATAATTCAAAAGAATCTATCAAGCTAACTGATTCTGTTGACGATTCTTCTAAAGTTAAATCTTCTAGACCAAGTTTACCTGACCAAACAAGTATACCATCTACAAACATTGAAGTTGAACAGGTACCATTTAAAAGAAAAACCATAGTTAAAGAAATGGATAATAATACAAAACTAAATGATGTGAAAAAATCTTCACATGAAACTTGTACTAGTCCATCTGTTGATAAGAAATTTAATATTTCTACAAGGGTTGTAAAATGTTTGTCTTTAAGTAATGAAATAAAATCACCTATTTCATCAAAAAAGAAAAATAGTCAATTTGAATGTAAGTCACCTACCATTAACCATGTTAATAATTCAACAGAATCTATCCAGCTAAATAATTCTGTTGAACATAAAGATAAATCTTCTAGACAAAGTCTACCTGACCAAACAGGTATACCATCTACAAATATTGAAGTTGAACAGGTTCCATTTAGAAGAAAAACCATATTTATAGGAATGGATAATACAAAAACTAATGTTATAAGAAAATCTTCACATAAAGCTTGTACTAGTTCATCTGTTAACAAGGAATTTAATGCTTCTCCGAGTAATGAAATAAAATCACCTATTTCATACAAACAGAAAAATAGTCAATTGGAATCTAAATCATTTAATATTATCAAAGTTAATAATTCAAAAGAATCTATCAAGCTAACTGATTCTGTTGACGATTCTTCTAAAGTTAAATCTTCTAGACCAAGTTTACCTGACCAAACAAGTATACCATCTACAAACATTGAAGTTGAACAGGTACCATTTAAAAGAAAAACCATAGTTAAAGAAATGGATAATAATACAAAACTAAATGATGTGAAAAAATCTTCACATGAAACTTGTACTAGTCCATCTGTTGATAAGAAATTTAATATTTCTACAAGGGTTGTAAAATGTTTGTCTTTAAGTAATGAAATAAAATCACCTATTTCATCAAAAAAGAAAAATAGTCAATTTGAATGTAAGTCACCTACCATTAACCATGTTAATAATTCAACAGAATCTATCCAGCTAAAT